ATCATCTCACTCAGCGCACATCAGGGATCAATCCTGGGATCTTGAGGAAGAGGAGCTTTTAGATGCCATTTCCTCAGTGACTGTCAGCCTTGCCCCTCCATCTTGTTTATTTAAGCTGGTGATGGGGGAGGGGGTGGAGTTCTTACACAGACTTGTGAGGCCTATTCTTACCCAGACTTCTTAACAGCCAGCGTCATGGGCTTTAGACTCAGAAGTTCTATCGGTAATGGAGGAGGTTTTCTTTTATGTTTTGAAAATTCTTTATAGCACTTACAGTGCGGTTGAGTGGGCTTCTGCAATCAGTCCTATCCGCCCACCACTAAACACACAGAGCTGGTTTCAGTTTGGCACAAGCTGGCAGTATTTTGTGGAACTTGTTTGGTGACTCCTGTCACTGAAACAGTATTTTCCTAAGTCTGTTGTCACCTTCCAGCTGTTATACAGACACACCCAGTGTGTGCTGTTAGTTCATTAAATCTAATGAGCATGTCAGAGGCCGAGGTCACCTGAGTTCAGATTCTGATAGGACTGCAGAGAATCTGTGCAAACCCTTCCATATGCAATAAGATGGTGTTTACTATCCCTGGGAAGGCTATAGAACTTTAGTATAATTGTAGAGCAAGTCAGTAAAAGCCAGTCCCTGTATAAAACAGTGGTGTTTACCTCTCAGGCAACAATCAGCCACTCTACAGAACTGTATAAAAGAATGAGTACACACCGTTCCTTAGCACAGAGTAATCTTTACTGCTCCTGAGAACTTAACAGCTATTCAGTGGGAATGTATATTACTTCAGTGCTTTTTTAGAGGTTCGGAAGTGTCTCAGACTGTCAGTAAAACTCAGTACATGTTGCAAGTGAAAGAGGCTGTCATCGCCCCATTACCCCTGATCCAGTGCCTGAAGTGGGAATGATCCCAGGAACTGCTCGATAGGAATCGCGTTTCCCTGTATTTCTTTCTTGTTTCTGTTCGAAGGGATGCTGTACTTTGCGTCTGGGGGATGACAGAAGAGCACGGCAACCACTTGATTGGAGCAAAACTCCCTGTGGGCCGTGACCAAGTTCTCAGGGACGAGGGAAGATACAGGAACATCATGTGGATTGTACAGAGTCTTTGTAAGAACAATTTCAATCTGTGCACATTTATAGAAAAANCACAATGTCTCAGGCCCCGCACTATAAAGAGACTTGATAAAATGGCTGACTTCCTGATCGGCAGATCAGCACTGATGTCACTTCTTGTGCGGGGGTATGTTTGAACATGTAGGAATCCCGTTGACGTAATTTCCTTGATACGGAGACACAGTGGCACTTCCTGTACATTGCAACCACCTGACGATCCAGAATTCAGCCATTTTTTCGTGATGACAAACTTTGGTGGCGCGATTTTAAATTTTATGTAAGAAAATGTCAAGGTCTTCATTCCAATTATTGTTAAAGGCAAACCCAAGTTATTAAACACATTATAAGGGTGTTGCTCTGTAAACTGAGCTATTTCAGTGGCTTAGGCAGCATTGAGCAGGGTGGGACTGAGAGAGGGCAAGTGTGTGATCGTTCTTGGAACTATAGCAGTGTGTCTGTAAGAATGCTTATATCTGTTTATATGTATGAACGTACAGAGGTGATTTCTATTCTAACAAATGGATCAAAACATGGTATTGTCTAACATGGACCAGAGAACATTCCATTCAAATCCTATTTATAGGTTAATCTGGTAACACAGAGCTTGTTCAACAAGTTTCTCTCCATCCAGGGCTCTATCTCACAAGGCAGAGGATATGTCTGTATTTCATTAATGATTCATTTCATTAATGAATCAGACTAGTTAGTCAGCCATCAACAAACACGGTCTTGGATTACTGATAGCCTGGCTTTGCTAGACATAGCTCTTTGCAGCCAGTTCTGACCAAGGGATAGACCCTGCTTCTGCCTGGGGAGAATATTTTTGTTTAGAAGAACTCATTTTATCAGCTTCAAAAGAGTGAGTGGTTGAGTGGACCTATCGAAGTTTGAATATTTATCTCGCTTGTGAGCACTCACCTCATAAGAGCAAAAGGACCTGGGTTCAATTCCCTGGAAGGGCTAAACATTAGGCAAGTTTCCTTTCCCCACGCCTCTATTTACCTAGCAGTAAGTAGGAACCAAGTTGTTAGTCGATTGATGGAGCAATAATCAATCATAATTTTTTTTAAAAAAACAATCATAATAATTTGGTCACTCAATCCACGACTGTTTGTGGGACCCTGCTGTGTGCAATTGTCTGCTGTGATTCGCCCACAAATTATAGTCAATTCACTTCACAGTATATTTTGTAAAGCGCTTTGAGATGTCTCGAAGACGTGATAAAGCGCTATATCACATGGAAGGATTATTATTATTATATTTCTGGCCCTAATTCCAAACAACAACTTGCACTTATCTAACTTCCTCCGTGCAGGGTAGTGTCTCAGAGCACTTAACAGTGGCGGAGTCTGACTCCGAGCCGGGGTGGGTGGGGGAATTGACCATAAGCACGGTTGAAGTGGTAGGTTTTCAGGTGGGACTTGAAAAAGGGGAGAGCAGGGACAAGGGGGAGGGATTGATGGAGAGTGCTCCATAGTTTTAGGACGTAGTGGCTGAATGCACGACCTCCAATGGTGGGGCGGAAGGTGACGAGCAGGAAGCCGGTGCCAGTTGAGTGGAGGCGCTGGGTGGTGGATTGGAGAATGAGGAGGTCGGAGAAGTAGGGAGGTGCCAGGAATTGAAGGGATACCAATTCCAATACTCAACTAACTATGTGACCTAGGAACAAAAGTTCACAGCCCCAAGCCTCTTCCCCTCAGCCAAGATCTTGCACTTGAGACTTATAGAGGGAAAACAGGGAAAACAAATAAACACTTGTGTAAAACAGAGAACATCAGGGGCTTGTGGTTTTATTCTACCACCGATGTTGCAGTGTGACAATCGCCTCTCTGTTTGCCCCCTTGGCAAGCAGTTGAAAGGTGCTTGTGAAATGTTTGCAATACGAGGCATTTTATTAACTATCTGTAGAACGTCATGGCTTTTACTGCTCCCCCAGTGCATGGAAACAAACTCCTTCAGCCTGGGCTTGTAAACATTAAACCCTTTTCTTAAAGATTTACAGGAGGATGTGGCTGGGTGCATTTCATCCCAACCCTGTAAACAAAGGTCCTAATGGGCTAATGATCAAAGTCCATTGGTAAAACCACTCACAATTTGTCTCTATTAAAAGAAAGAAACATTCCGTTGCTTTTCCCACTGGCTGATTAATGCAGTAAAATGGGAAATAAATCAGCTCTCACCTAGGAATGTCCTGCAGCATCGAAGCTCCTCAGAGTGCAGCCGGCACAGCTGTCTCGAACCAGCGCTGCCCTCAGTAATGAGATGGGAATTGGTACAGATAGAAAATCAACCCGATAATACAGGAGTGAAAAGATAATATAACTCCTTCCAAGTTTAAACAGCATCCAATGTTTCAGGCTGCCTGGTTCTGTGATGTATGATCCATATAATCCAGTGTAATTCTATGTGAAGTCTAATTGTAATTAGTTAATCAGAAGCACGAGTCATTTTTCTGTGTTTTTCTTTCTTAGCAGGTGAAAGATGTAAGGACTTGGAAGCAACTCACTTTCCCACTTCATTCAGGCAGCCAGTCTCTCCCTCCACTTTGCCCCAGCCTCAGAACGCAACCCTTTTACTGCAGTAAGATTACAGAAACATAGAAATTGACAGTGTAGAAAGAGGCCCATCGAATCTTAAGCCGGCTGCCTTACCTTATGCCTTATCTTGCCCTCAAAATATAATAATAATAATAAATAATCTTTGAATTTGATATAGTGCTTTTCACATCTTCTAGACATCTCAAAGCGCTTCACAGAATATGCTGTAAAGTGAATTGACTGTATATTTGTGGGCGAAACGTGACAGCGCACAGCAGTCAATATACAGTCAATCCACTTTACAATATATTCTGTGAAGCGCTTTGAGACGTCTCAATGATATGACAAGGCGCTATGTCTAATGCAAGGATTATTATAATAATAATAATCCTTTCATTTGATATAGCACTTTTCACGTCTTCAGGACATCTCCAAGCACTTCACAGAATATACTGTAAAGTGAATTGACTGTATATTTTGTGGGTGAAATGCAGCGGCCACTTGCTCACAGCAGTGTCCCACAAACAATCGTGGATTGAAGTGACCAATTTATTATTGTCAGGCATGTGGAGTAAGGAAACTTGCTCAAGGTTTTGCCCTGCCAGGGATTGAATCCAGGTCTCTCGCTTGCGAGGCGAGTGCTTTAACCACTGAGCTACAGGACTCCACGCTACAGGATTATTACCCCTTCGAGCTTCACTTTCAAATACCTATCTTGGTAGCATGAATTTTTTCCCCATTTCCCACACCGTTGATCCTTTTTGACTACCCCGAATGAAGTTGCCAATAACGTGCCAATTTGGGGCAGTCTTATGTTGTGGATCTCTGCCCGCCAGGTACAGGGTTACGACTTCTAAAAACTCTTTTATTCCAAATCCTTGCAGCTCAGTAATCTTTGCTGGATTCAAATTCAGGTCCAAGAAGTCAATGGTCAGCATTAATGCACTGCATTACCTATGACTCCATTTACAAACATTAATCATCGGTGTTGCCATCTGGACCTCCTTTAAACACAAAACAATCATAAATAATTGACATTAATTTCAACCCCATATTGCTTTTTCACCTTGTATCTTTGAACTGGGGTTTCACAGTGTCTGGCTCTTCCCCTTTTCCCGTTATTCGGGAGAGAGGACAAATCACAGTTCATTCCACTCAAAACCTAATCTTTTACCTCCTGTCTCTTCTTGGAAATTGAATGCAGACATTTAACAATAAGTGGAATGCTATAAAACCCAAATGTGATTCACAGTGAGATATGTTCTTAAATGACAAATCATTCCCGGAAGGCAGTCCTGTGGTACGTTTTAAATATTTTCAAACGTCTGTTTTTCTCTTTCTCAGGATGTTTGTGGTGCAGCAGATTGTAAACAGTAACTTGCTCATGCTGGTGTCTGATGCAAACTGTGACTGCAGCATGTTTCCACCAGTCACATTGGAACCAACAGAAGTGAAATATATCCTTTATACAACGTGCACAGCAACATATTCCATGAACAATAAAACATACAAGTGCACAGGAGGAGGTACGATCTAACCTACGAGCCATTTATGGTTCAAATAATGATCTACACATGTTAGAGAGAGTTCATCTCTATTTTATGATTGGACAAGAAATGATTATTTAATAAACCCCTTACCTCCATTAACTGATTACCACAGCCTCTCCCCTGCTGGTACAGAGTGTAGAGATATACAGGCTGAGTGGACCCCAAACCCATTCCCTTTCAGAGCCCCATTCATTGGCAGGGGGATAGGTCAGGTTTGTAATGGCAGGTTACAGTTCTGTTCAATGAAAGCAACTTTCAACAATAAACAGTCACCTGTTTGTTGGACAGGTATGCATTGCACCCACAGTTTATGCACCGGGCAAGGTCCTCATTCTGGACAGACCAGCAGAAGGAGACTGAGTGGAGTGAAATCCTTCCCAGAAAAAAGTTGGGATCCGGAGTTTTTTTAAAATCAACAAGCAAAGGTTTCCAACATTTCCTAGGCATGTATTAGTGGTACCTATATTAACCTATGCTTAGGGTTCCTGACTCCATTTAGTTTGGCAATAAAGTGTGATAAGAGGAATGATTGACAAAGGGAGAAAATAACGTAGAATAAGAAATAACTTTTGTTTAGAAAGATAGAAAGACCGGGAGGATTCAATGTGGTAATTTTATTGCAAGAAACAAATACGCTCCTCAAAGGGTTGCACTCGGGGCAAACAAACCAATCTCCTGTTGTCCATAAACATCCTGCAGGACATCTTGAGGCATTTCTTGTCAAGGGTTTATTTTGACAAGCTGACTGATAGAAAACATCAGTGCCCCAAGATATGTTGACCTGCTAATCTTCTCTGAACTCCACTGTCCTTCCTTAACACCAATGCACACAATGCATCAGTTAAGTGTGAACGAATGCGCTCACAGAAGCTGAGGCGTCGACCCAACACGTGTCATGCATTTCATCCAGAGGTAAGATAATACCGCCAGGCTAAGATGCCTTCAGTGTCATTTGATGGATTCACACATGAGCAAATGTTATGACTCCACATTCCTGCATTTTTGATACAGGAATTTCAACTTGGTATAGTTAGTGTGACAGAGTCTTTACCCTTTAAATCAGTGTACAGAGATATACAGATAAACTGAGCTCCAAAAAAATTTCATTTTTAAGAGGCAGGTTGATGAGGTAGATTTGTACTAGCAGGTAAGAGACCTGAAGACACAATGGGTTGGTGGATGAGCCAATTATGTTGTGGATCTGCACCACACAGGTCTGTTTGTGCCCATGACTTCCCCAGTCAAACCTTTAATAAGAGGCAGAGCGCGGCAAGCAGTGATGAGGTATTTTCCTTGCTGGAAAGAGGGAAGTTCAGAGGGTGAGGGATTGCAACATTACTACTGCCAGCTACCTCTACATATTCATTTATTTAAAATTTGGTGAGTGAGGTTAGGCTCCACTCATCCCCTTTAAGCTGAATTAGACTGAAACGTGTTTCTCAAGGGAGAAACAAACAAACAACACAAACAAGACCCCCCCGCCACCAAACTCTCTAGGCCTCAAATCATCAAAGGACAATGCAGAGCTGTAACCTGTCTTCACCACCACCCGAGCAAGTCAGGTACCGTATCGCTTCTCCGCAGGGCAAGCCTGGCCTGAGCCTATTGACCAAGTGCTCTGTATTCCAGTATCTCTGCGTCTTCCATGAGGACGGATGAAACTCCTCAGATCAGAAATACTGCAACACTGGCATAGCTCCTGCCAGGAACTCAATCCTCCCACAATGTATTATGGATAGCTTCAGTTATGGACCTGTAAACACAAGCGAGTCTCAACAGGAGATCTTTCTGGCAGGTGCATATCCCATGGAGTAACTGATAAGCACAAAAAACTACACTTCATCTTAGCCAAATGGCGGAGAAGGCAGAGATCAGGGAGAATGGTGCTTGACCAGGGGAAAGGGGAGGGAAGTCAATCAAACTTTAAGGTGCCCACTAGCACTATTCGGAGCAAGTCATTGACAACTGCATCCTATGATTGATGGCTCTTACTTTCTCTTTCCTGCTGCAGAGAAGCAGCCACCCTTCAGTCACTACTTCCCCATATCACTGCAGCTGAGGTTCGCAGCCTGGCTGTATTCGTGAACCAAATTGCTGAGAACAGTGATCTCCTTATACGCTATATTGCACCATTTTCATAAGTGATAGTAACCAAATGTGATGTCTACAGAGCATATAAACAACATGACAGCATTACACTTTGCTAAATATAAACTGGAAATACATTAACGCATGTAATACACATACATACAGCCCAGCCCCTAAGGTCTCGGGATCTATTCTCTGATCAGTGAGTTAGCTGATCTCACCATGAGTGATGCTCAGAGCACTACAATTGATCTCAGGATCCCTGAGCTTGGTTCCTGACTGCTATCATTTGACTTGTGAAGAGCAGCTCACAATTCAGGTTAGGCCAGATTTGGGTTTAGTTGTGCGGTTTCACAGCTGAATAACCTGTCAACAGTCCTCCTCTATGCTCGCACACAAGAATAGCAGGTCGGGTGAGTCACAAATGAAGGCCGGTGTATGAGGAGCACTTGCCTTTGGGAAACAAGAGGAGAAACATGTTTTTATTAATATTTGATTGCACGGTCTTTTCAGGAGAATGCAGAGGAGTGTGGAGGGTCAACAGGCATCACTCTGTCTGGAGCACTGCTAGCTTTTAATCTGGGCACCACTGCTGCTGTACTGCGATGACAAAGTGTAAGCAGTGGCCAACATTATCTTGCCACTGTTTCAATGCTCCCACAAGAAGCTTTGTGTATGCTGCGTACAAGGAATGATCCAGTTTCTCTTCAGCTGTTAATAACTGAGTGCTAATGGATGACAGGAGGACAAAAAGAACCTTCTATTGCTTTCTGCATTGTATCCTTTTCTTGTTCGGCAAAATACATTTTCCCCTCCTGGTTCTGAATCATGTCGATGGAGAAGCAGAGAAAAGGTTATTTGTTGAGAAAAAAATACAGAAGAAAAATCTCAAGTATGGTTCTTGACGGTGAAAGTCAAACAGGGAACAAAACGCTTCAAGCAGCCAAAGGAGCTCATCAGCAAGACCTCTTTTACTGTAGTTGTTTAACAAAGCAGATCCTTTGAGAGAGTCATGGTTTTGCCTCTGGAGTGTGTGCACAATGACACTGTAGTCAAGTTCCATGAATCATTCTGTCTGTCTATTTGTCTGGCTTACCTCCTCTCCTCTGTTTTTTTCACAAATGTTTCTACATATAAAGAAAATTTCACTTTCTACGAGAGTCACTGCTTCCACAGAATTAAAACCTTCGTATGAAATGCATGTTTTTTTGGTTGTTTCGCTGTGGCACAATGATCAGACTGTGCGCAGTGCTGGCAGGAATGTTCCTTATCAGAGGGAGAATATCAGGAGTGACATTTACAATATGCAGGAGTCACACAGTTCACAAAGCCTTTGTAACACACAGGGCTGGTGTGAATTGGTTAAGAGAAATGTGCATCCAAATGAGTTAGAAAGAATGGCTATCACTCTTACCTTCAGATACACCAAGAATGCAGGATAAGAGGGCATGAATTTAATAATAGTAATAATAATCCTTGCATTTAATACAGCGCCTTATCGAGTCTTTGAGATATCTTAAAGTGCTTCACAGAATATATTGTAAAGTGAATTGACTGTATACACCGTGGGAGAAATGGTTGTGAAGTGCATTTCGAACAGACAAAAAGTAGTATTTCAGGCTCCAGTGCCCTCTTCCCCTCACTCAGCCCTCCATTTCTCTCCCCTCCACCATTACAGATTCTCATCACCCTCCTACAGGTGATGGCTTGCTCTAGGCAATGTTCCCAATGCTATGATGTTTTGATGAAACTATAAATAAGCTTTAAACACCATGTGTGCAGGTATGAAGAACCGATGTCATAAAAAACATTGGCAATGTGTGTGGGGGTGGGGGGTCTGATTTGCAGTGATTTGTGAAACGATTCACAAATATCGAATCCTGAAGGAATTGGATGTATATCACATTGACCCACCTCATCTCCCAGGACATGGGATTGCGAGCAAAGCAAGCCATCAGCTGGAGGTAGGCTGAGATCAGGATCCAAACACAGTGCTGGCAGGAGAAACATCCAGTTCGGGACTTGTGAATCCTTTTCGGAATCCTGTAAATTGGATCCCACCAAGGGATTGACAGGGACTTCCTTTTCACTGGAGCCCTGAGTAACAAACACACGTAGAGGAGGAATTGGGGAGTGAACGACACTGCTGAGAATGTGAGACCTCCTCCAGGCACTGGCCAGGAACAGTTCAGAGCGATGTAGATTTCGGGAGGAGTTTGCATTGAAAAGGACCTTCTGCATCGCTCACCATGTGGCAGGTAACAGTGAATGAAGTTAAATGTGGCATGTGCAGTGCTATTTTGTTTCAGATGTAGTGTGACATCCCACAATTCCCAGTAACACTTCACAGCATAAACAGAAACTGACCATCAGGTAGTGAGAGCAGACAGCCTGATTGATCTCAGTACTTGGAAGGACAGACCAGTCACTGGAGGCGGGGAATCATCCCCTTTCGGCTCCTGTTAACCCTTGCAAACCAAAGCCCTCACAGGTCCGGTAGTCCTAGCTGGCGGTGCTCTCAAAGACAAGCTATACAATTTTAGCTGGTTAGACTTCAGGAGTACCCCAACACACACTCTCGGGTCCCCAAGCCTTGGCTAATATTTTATGGAATTAAGTAAGCAGGATGTGTCTCTCCAGGGAGAGAGTGCGCATTCCATTGCAACAATCTATCTCTGGGATTTCCATGTGTAGGTGGGATGCATGGAATTTTCAGTTTGGTTTGGATACTCTCAAGCATGATTTTCGCAGGTGTCAGACACCCAGCTGAACAAAGAAAATGAGTGGAGAATTTAGAGTTGTTTAACCTGCATTTCCAGAGGCTCTCAGATATTTGACACTTTACCCATTTTATATTTCCATTGAGGCCCTCAGTTAGCTGCAACCACCATCGGCAGGCCCATCGCAGAACTTCCACCTGTCATCACATGCTCACAGTTTACAAGAATCTACTGTGAAGGATCTAGTTCTGTGTGCTGGGATTTTCTTTGTAAATGAAGCAAATTTAGCTGGAGAAGCGGTTGTGGATGGTGTTGCTGCATTTCCCTGTTTGGATCTGGAGGAACTAGGTCTGTGGCTCAGAAACCTGTTTGTATCGTGTTGAGAGGAGTCATGTTACACAGCATAGATTGTGCACTAAGTGTCAGAGCTGTCACTTACCCAGAGCTGGTGAATGTGCAACTGAAGCCTTGTAGGGGGTCCTTTAACTGCTGTGCTGGACTTCACCTATGTGATCAATCGTGTTCAAAAGATTGATTTGGATGAAGAAGGCCCTTTTACCCATTTGATCAATTAGTTCCAGAATCCCCACTTCGCATTTTATAGTATCAAGTTGAGTCCAGTGTCCTGGTCTTAACCTGTTCGAGTCTGTGAAAAGAAAAACTTTTTGGAACAGTATCTGTCTTTAAATTGCCCTTTGGCCAGGTCATAGGAACAGGAGTAGGCCATTCAGTTCATTGAGCCTGTTCAACCATTCATGGCTGATCTGTACCTCGATTCCAATTACCCTTCTAAAAATTTTGTTTAAATTAATTTAAAAATGACCCTTCTCTTTACGAATAGTGCCATGGGATCTTTAATGTCCACCTGAACAGTCAAACTAGACCTCAGGTTAACATCTCATCCGAAGTATGGTGTCCTATGGCACTATAATTGGCTACAACATCTGGATCAGAAAGAAGAAGATCAACTAAGGTTTCCACTAACCAACACCTGCTCTTGAGTTATTGCCTCTATGTGAGGATAGCAATCGGTCCTTCCCCTCCTACTTGAAGAATGATCATTTGGGCAATGTAATAAAGGGTGACCACAGAACAATGACTCAAAGAAGGAACCTGATGGGTGTCTTTCTGCAATTATCAGACTGATTAAAAAAAAAAGGAATATAGAAGTCAAATGCCTTCAGGAGGGGAGGGAGATCATTTGGTGAAAGTAAAATAGGTAACAGGGAACAACGGTTAGTACAATAATGTGACCCATTGTCGGTTTATGCAGTTATCAATTGATGCAACGATTCATAGGCAGATTACATCAGCACACGTTATAATGCGATTTCTTCTCCTAAGATGTACCTATCAAATTCATCCAACATTTTCAAATAGAAATCTAGCTAAGGTGTTAAATCCAACATTGGGAAAAACGCAACAGCCAGGGAGGAAACCATTTTAAAAATGTTTCACGTTCCTGGATCTTTTCACAGCAAACACTGTGTTTCTGTCGATGGCAAGTGATTCTTGAGGTCCTCATGAGAAGAGCTGCCAAATCTTTGTAGTGTGGAGCAATGACCTAGTCAGGCTTTTAAATTAAATGTATGGATATTTTTGAGTTTTTTTAGCATTCCTGCTGGGTTTGAAAGGCCTAGCGAGTGTCTTTTGCAGCACTTTGTTCTTAGCTGGCACTCTGAAGTGAATGTGTGGTTAACAAACCCGGGCAGAAAGCTGCTGCTCAGCCACTGACTCAATCACCAGAAATGACAATGACAGGCATTGTATTAAAACCACATGCTTCCCTACTGGTGGAGTAACCTCCAAATGAGAGCTATTAATCAATAGCTCCTATTTATAATGCAGGTAACCAAGCACCAGGCTCCAGTCAGCCCTGGTGCATTGTAAAGGGCATCTTCGTTCAGCAGGCTCAGTTTCTGGCACAGTCTGCTCCATGAGACATACTAACTGAGCTACTGACTTTCTCTCAACTAATATTAATCCAGCTGCCTCATTTTGTCGGGCTAGATACTGTAACTACATTCAGTCAGCAGAACGATAATTAGACAAGCGAGGGCTCTCCGGTCTTGAGCGTATACGACTCAGATGGGACCTTATATATACCATTTTAGATGGGATTGCAAAAAGTAAATCCACAACAATACTTTAGGAAGCATCAAGACAATAGAACAAGAGTACATAGGTTTCAAGTTGAGTGTGCAATATCAAGAAAGAAGCCACAAAGGTTTTTTTACACACACAGGGTAATTAACAACCAGGACAGATAACCAGCAAGGGAGGTTGAAGCCAGCACATTGAATTGTCTCTTTCATTGGCTGTGGTCTGCAGGACGGGTTGGAATGTCCTTAGGTTGAAAGAGCTAAAATGTTAAGAAAAATTGTTTCAAGCAGGGTTGATATCATACATGTGCCATCCAGTTTAATAAATTCAGTTCTGGGTGAAACCTGTTAGACTAATCTGACTTTTCCTATCCAATGCACAAGTTGTAGGATACAACAGAGAATTCACTCCACCAGTTCACTCCCAGATCACTTGCAGTGAAGCATTTAAGGTAGATGTTGGAGGATGCAGAGCTGCTGTTCTCTGGGTATATTTGGACTTATTTTAAAATATAATAATCATTACATTTGATAAAGTGCCTTTTAAGTCAAAAGACTCAAAGCTCTTCACAAGTATTTGCTGTAATTGGAGAGATTTGCATGTGTAGCTCCTCTAATCTTTTACCCGGCAAATTATTCAACGTTATCTGTGGTGGACTGAGGAAGAGCCCAGCCCAGGGACCATCCTGTAAGTAGAGAACATGCATTCCCAGCTGCTCTTGCACACCACCTAGCAATCCGTTATCTTGCTGCTTTTTGCACTGAGAGCGATGGAGGTTCTTATGTG